TAATCTTACTTTGACAGAATTTGGGAAAGTTCCTTGGCTGCCTCAGACTGTCAGAGACACCCCACAACCTTTCTCATAAAAAAAGCAAATAATTTGTGATGTATATAGCCCATCTATCACATAGCCTATTTTTTAAAACCAGCCCTGAAATGATCTTAATAAAAAGCTATCCGTAGTAAGAGATGACAATTCAAGTGACGCTAGCCTACTTGGAGCTGCTCGCGTCCTCTGATGAGGTTTTATACGTTTCTCCAAAATTAATCTGCGTGGTCGCGTGGTACAGCGGTCACGTGATACAAACCGCAGCTCTCAGAATATTCCGAGTCTAAAGTTGTAATTACGCGTTCTACGGTCATGTAAATGCTTTTTACAAGTCAGAATTGCCTTTAAACTGCCCGCGACACGTCTTGCGCCGAGAATCAACTTTCAGTGGTGGAGGACACAGGCATGAATGCAATAAGCCAATATAAAATAGACACCGGTGACATCTCCACCAATAAAACAAACGTTGAGGAGGGCTTCTGCTTTGATCAACGCTAATAAAACAAGGGTAGAATAGGGTGGAGCTATGAGAAGAGTCCCGAAAGGGATGACGTAATGTATTTTCAGAGGATGATGTCATCGTTGTGCACAAGGAGAGGATTTAAAGACACAGCTGTGCTGTGGTACAACTTGCAGCTGGAGCAAGTACTGCACGAGAACAATGTGGTGGATGTCAGCTTTAGTCGAAATAAAACGACCTCACGTGATATTTTCTAAGCAGTTTTTCCACTTCTCACTTTGAGAACCACAAATCATAAGACAATTTTACACAACACCCCCAAATATAACAAGGTGCCAAAATGCACGTGAGTCTTAAACATAACACACTACTCTAATGCATTACAATGTATCTGTAACGTGCATAGCTTGTAGTACTAGCATCTCTACCCATGCACAGCCAGTCACCATGGCAACAGAGGCAACATGGTGTTTATCAGAGTATCTTTTGGAGCTGCAGCATCAGAGCTTTCCAGGCCAGTGAGCGCTTAGGAAAGGAGAAAAGGAGAGGACACTGTTGAGGAACACTGGGATATAACCAACCCTAGTCCTCACGGGTTCAGGAAAAGTTCAGGATGAGCAGCAGGTCACAAAAAAGCCTTAGATAAGAAGAAAACCTTGAGCGATACTACCATTACAATTATAACTGAGGGTTTTGTTTACTTTTATTTAAAGGATAAGTTCACCCAAAAATGGGCATTAATCATTTACTCACCATTCTGTTGTTCCGAACTTGTATAACTTCATTTTCTTCTGCAGAACACAAAAGCAGATTTTGAAGAAAGTTGGCAACCAAACAGTTATGGTTACTTACCGTTGATTTCCATCAAATGGAGAAGAAACCCCAGATACATTTCTCACAACATCTTTTATATTCCATGGAACATGGAAATGATGACAGAATTTTATTTTTGGGGGTAAACTATCCCTTTAAGATGTTTGTTGCAACTTACACACTCTTAAATATAAAGGTTCTTTATTGTCATGGTTCCTTGAAGAACCTTTATATGGAACCTTTCAATTCCACAAAAGGTTATAGTGGAAAAAGTTTCTTAGATGATTAAAATGTTCTTCACACCAAGAAAAAAATGGTTCTTTTAAGAACTGTTGACTGAAAGATAATTTGGGGACCCAAAATGCTTCTGTGGCACCGTTGCAAAAACCCTCTTTTGGACCTTTATTTTTATGAGTGATTTATGTGCTGCTCCAGGACCCAAACACAGATTCATACAATCAACGTGCTTTTTTTTTTTACATTTAAACTTCCTATAAAAATGTTGCCGTACTATAGCCTACTCTTGTCTCCATGTCCTGCAGATGACCAGATAAAAATCGCAGAGGGAGACTGTTGTCTGTCCCTGTGAACTCAGCACATTTATATTCTGTGTGTGCGTGTGCATGTGTCTGTGTGTGTGTGTGTGTGTGTGTGTGTGTGTGTGTGTGTGTGTGTGTGTGTGTGTGTGTGTGTGTGTGTGTGTGTGTGTGTGTGTGTGTGTGTGTGTGTGTGTGTGTGTGTGTGTGTTGGTGTGTGTGTTGGTGGCCTGAAGTGCAGGACAGTTTGCTTCTGTCAATAGCAAAGTGATGACCCAAAAAACACCTGAGCATTATCAGAAGTATATCGACCAATGTTTCACGCTCACACTGCAATCCGTTGTCTGCATTTGCCTGACCATACAGCACAGAGAACAATAGATACTGCATAATGGTGCAGAAGCAGAAGAAATGGCTCATATGTGGATATCATAATATAGGAGATGACACTATGTTTGGCACACGTCTAGAAGTGCAGTGGGAAGTTTTATTAGCTCATAGCTCCCTCTTCTGTCCATCAAGGCTATTGCAATATGGCCCAGATACAAACACAAGAGGTGCTGTAGTGTTGAATAATAGTGCTCTGTGTTAAATGCTTAGTTGTCTCTTATCATCACTCAAACCTCACAGGCTGAGAAAAGACAGGGAGAGAGAAAGATCAAGGGTAGGAAATGTGAATGAGAGAACGTCAAGAGAGAGTATCAAATACCTGGTTGTCCAATAAGAAATCAGCTGTTGTGCCATTCTAGTGGCCTTTTTCCTACAGAAGGACCGCATATGTCTCGGATCTGTTTCTGCTAAAAACTAAAACACAAGAATTTTGTTTTAAAGGGACAGTTTTAAAGGGACAGTTCACCTAAAAATAAAAAGTATGTCATCATTTAGCCTACTCACTGTTTTTGTTCCAGACCTGTATGGCTGCCATTCTTTTTCACAAAACGCCAGCCTCATACACCATTCACTTTCATAGTATAGCGATTAAAAACGATCTAAGGGTGAGTGAATTAGGAGAGAATTATTTTTATTTATTTATTTTGAGTGGACTAATCCTTTAAGAAACCTGTCAAAAAAAAAACTACGTTACCGGTTTTTCCGCAGATATAGATGTTGAGAGTAGAAAAAAAGTTGAGAGTAGGCCTATGTGCCCCTAACATATGCAAATGCGAGAAACAGCATATGTGGAAACCAGACTGTCAATACTTCCGAGACTTCTGTAAAATACCTGCTGACTTCATAAGGGTTGATATTATTTTTAAAAAGAAAAAAGAAAAAAAGAGGGGCATTGTGAAAAGTGGATGATTCAGCAGCAGTCAGCCCACTCAGTGATGAAAATGACTCGAACAGAAGCCCTCTTTCACACTATCCAAAGCAAGTACTCGTTTCATCAGACTCTCTTCCCACAGTCTTTGAGTCATCTTTCTTGGCTCCTTATTTCATTCCTCTTGTCTTTTACAGGCTACAGCATTCAACAAATAATTCCTTCCTCTGTTTGCTGGTTACACAGAGTTCCCTGTCCTTGCGAAATGACATCAAACCAAAGAAAAAATCTAATCATAATCTACTCCGTTTACTTTCTAAACGCACATAGTCTTATTTTTGATTAATCTCCCTGTGTTATTATAGTATTATTTATTATAGTAGGCCTATTTATTATTTTGAGTTAGGCTACCTTTTATCTTAGTCATTTTAGTACATTAACTTTATTTTTTATGATGCTTTTGCTTCAATTAACAAAAGCGATTGGTAATAGTTTTAACAGTTTTAGTAAACAATAACAACAATAATCTCGCTAGATTCATCAGTGCATGGTATTTCAATGGAAAAACACAATTCCTAACACAATTTCATGTCGACTTTAAGAGCATAATTTACTTGCTTTACTTATTCCAAACCTGTATGAGTTAAATTCTCCTGCGGATCACAGAATAATACTTTTCTAGAATGTTTCTATCCATATAAAGCCCATTGATTTTTATTTTATGAAGAAGAAAAAAACATTTTCAAATTATTTTTAGTAAAACCTCACAATAAAGTCCCATTAGTTAACGTTAATTAATGCATTTACTTACATTAAGAATGAACAATACATTTGTTTTAGTATTAATCTTTTGTAAGATTAATACTAAAACAAATGTATTGTTCATTCTTAATGTAAGTAAATGCATTAATTAACGTTAACTAATGGGACTTTATTGTGAGGTTAAAATTATTAGTGACAGCTCAGTTCTATTAAATATTAACAAATGTAACTTTTGATTTTAACAAAGTATCAAATTAACATCAACTAAGAATAATAAATGATTTAGAAGTATTTCTTTTTTATTGTTAGCTCATGTTAATTTACGTAGTTAACCTACCTAATGTTAACAAATGGAACCTTATTAAAAAAAAAGTGACCGTGTCATCTTTTATGTTTCACAGAAAGTAAGTCTTTCAGGTCTGGAACAACATGACAGAGAATAAATGAGGAAATGTTCATTTTTGGGTGACCTATCTTTTTTTTTTTTAAATCTCTTGGCGCAAAAACCCTCAAGTAAACAAGAGAACAGTTTAAATATGTGGACAGCACTTAAGTTTCAGAGCGCCGTAGTGATGTTTGAGTGGAAGGACATTTACACATATGTAGCATCACTAGTGAGTGTAACTGAAAGGTGACATCTGCAGCAGAAGAGGCGGAGCAACGAGGTCACTGGGGTTAGAGAGAGAGTGACAGAATTGGAATGGAATTTACAGCAAGTATGCCATGTGGCAAGGAGTGCGAGCAAACGACATTCAACGCAGATCAGTGAATACTTCAGAACAATGCCGATGTCACAACAAGAAAGGCGCAAACTGATTTACTGGAGGAGAAATGCAGAACAGCTGAAACTGACATTTGGACAGTTTCAGTTTAGAAACATGTGGGTCGAGTCATCCTATGGATGCTTTTGATGGTATTTGTTGCAGATCACAGTGATCTAAACATGATATAAAGGAAAGCACAACACTACAATCTCGAAGTATCTGTTGCGTTTAAGAGTTAGTTTACCCCAAAAAATTACAATTCTGTCATTTACTCACCAATCCAAACCATTTTGAAACTATCCCTTTAAGAAAACCACATTTTCTTTGCAATAGATTGCAGGATTTAAAATCTGACAACAGTAGCATATTTTTTAAATATTCTTTATTAAATGAAAGAAATAAAACACTGTCATAAAATAATTGTGATTTTTTTATATTACATTAACAAAAATGCAGATTCATTGCACATTGCAGTCTCTTAATATGTTTGGTTAACAGGTCTGCACTCTTCTCAGTCTGTAAGAAACCATAATATCAGAAAGCCTTGTTTTACTGACATAATGTGAACCACAGAAAAAAAACACATTTTTTCTAAAGAGTCTAGAAAGATACCAAAAGCAAACAAGGCCGTAAACTTCGAAACCAGGGCAACCATAACAATATTTAAGGGGGAAAAAACCCTGACTACCATCAAACTAAACCACACATCCAATATGAATATGGCATTCTTTAGAAGAGAACATGCGAATGCTCTATGATGCCAGTGTATTAGGGAATTGAGCATATTTGGTTGAGGGTGAAACAGAAAACACCATTAGTATGTATTTGAGGAGTGTATACTGTTCATATGTGTTGGTCTGGTCTGGTTATGTTATGGCGAGTTTCAGATTAGGATAAGCCAGTAGGTTTGTATGTCTATGTGCAATGTACAATTAAAAGGCAAGTTCTATATAAGTTCAAATCAGTTACGGGTGTGTGTGTGTGTGTTAGGAGGTATGCTGAGGCAGATTCTGTGGTGGCTCAGCTGGCAGGTTATTCTTAACATCTCCATTCTGATCGACTGGGACTTTCACCACTAAAAGACAAAACAGGTCATGTTTACTGTGATGAAACATTTACCCTGAAAGGGTTAATATAATCAGTTTTATAACCAAAGGCTGAATCATGGACTATTAATTTCATTCTTCTCACCTTGACTGTCTTCATTTGCTAGTTTCTGGATCTCTTTTTGAAACTGGAGCTCTCCATTAGGACCTGAGGGAGGCTGTCTATTCACTGCCTGTTGCTCCTTTTGTTTTTGTGACATCTCCATTACTGCCTGATTAGAAGTAAAACAAGCTATCAGCTCTCTGGCATCCAAAAAAATATGCCAAAAAATACAATAATATGCAGTACAGATGTTGGTAAACGTATTAAAATCCATTTTTAAAAAATGTACATGGTATGGTCAACTGCAGTAAGGTTTTTTTTTGTGCTAACACTTACAACATGTGATTTTTTTATTGTTTTTTTTTACACAAACGCATACAAAAACCAAGACAATATGAACTTAAATTACATATAAAACTACCTACCTGCTGATATTCTCGTTTCTGTGCTTCTAGAGCTTTGCTTCTCTCTTTGAGAAGTTCCTGCTCCTGTTGTAATTTCTCTGCCCTTCTGCCAAGCTCCACCTCCTTATCCCGAAGTTCTACCTCAAAGCGCTGCAGCTCCTCTTCCGTGTACACTGGCTTTGTATCATCCAGTGTCTTAAATTGAGTCACAAAGAGTGTAGAAAGATAATGAGTTAGCACAAAACACTGCCATGTAAAAACAGTATAATAAATCCAGACATGCATCTAAATTTGGCTCTAACCTCCCATTCCTTTTGGTCATTAAACTCTTTCTTCTCTGTAGATTTGAGGAACTCTTCCAGGCTGACCAGCCTATCATGATTGATATCTACCTGCAGTGTGAGGAAGCGAGAGAGAAAAAGCCTATTTCAGCAGTTATAGTCAGGTATTTAAGACAACTGAAGAAACTAATTAAAAAATAAGACATTAGGGCAGTGAGTATTTTAAGCCAGATAAAAGAATGACTATTTCTTCATCTCATGCACCCTGAAGGAACAGAACAGATGGAGTCACTGCTGCTCCACACATTGGGAAAGTGTTAAAAAGCTGAAGGAGAGTCTGAGAATGGCCGATAAAGGCAAAGACAGAGAATGAGTGCATTTACATACATACTATTACACCAGTCTCTTTAAAGTTACACTTAAACTGTCAACCTATAAAGCAATTCTGAACAGTGTTTCTTTTATCAGATAAGTTGTAGTTTAAACACAATCAGCAGGTACACATTTTTGCAGATGATCAATTTTGCACTGACATTTTGGCGGCTTATTCAGTGTTTACATTTTAAACAACAAAATCAAAGAAATGTATCAAATTTCCAAATAAGTTTACATAGCGTTAAGGCTTTTATGGCTGAATTTGGTAGTTTTCAGTGTTTTGTTGTACATGCAAACACATTCAACAAGAGTGATTGAGAAAGAAAGTAAATATTTTACGTTTTGCATGACATGTTCTCGCATCCTCAGCCTTTCCTCCTCCATCTCCATCATGTCATCCTCTTCATTCTTGGGATCATACACTTTCTCCAGCTAAGACAGCAAAAAAGAAAAGAAAAGATGAACACATTGAAGACATAATAGCCACTTGCACTTTTTCAATGATTGATATTAGCTTGTTATGCTTTTACGGCTTTATCAAAAAAATGTCATCATGGATTCCCATGCTGAGGATGTTTTACTCAGGACAGCCACTAGAGCCTTACCCGCTGACTCGATTGCAGCATAAAAGAGGCTTCTGACACTGTCAATAACAGACTGTCATGACTCACCAACCTCAAATGTTAAACATTACCTCTTTTGTGAAGAGGGCCTCCAGCTCTTGCTCATCCAACACACCGTCGCCATTTGAATCTAGGAGAGAAAAAGCGATTCAATTAATTTTGCCTGCAAAACGGCTGCTTATGGTCTAACTGAGGACAAAAAGACTAACCGTGGAGCTTAAAGAAAGTCTTGGGATTGAACTCCTGTGGATCCAGCCCATCTGTCTCTTCCCAGACCTCCCGTAACTGATCCACGCTACCCTGAATGGATGGTGAGAAAAGAATAAAAGAAGAAAGCTTTACTAATAGCATATGTGAAGTCAGCAGAAACAGATCCAACTCTTCTCAGTCTATCTATCCATACATCTCCCATTCTTCATCCCTCTTACCGGAGCGTTAACTTTCGGATGTTTCCGGTGCTTTTCTTTCAGGTCTTCGATTCGCTTCTCCTCCTTCTCCCTCTTCTCCTGGTCCAAACTCTTCAGGTACTCCCTCCTCTCATGTTCTTTCAGCATCTCATACCGCTTAAACTCCTCATGGCGCTCTGCATCGTAATTCTCAAGATCTTTAGTGGCCTGACAAATAAGCACAAAACAAATGCGTATGATTCCATAGACAGTGAAGCTGAGCTCCCCCTCCATTTTAGGTTTTTATATGGGGGGGGGGGGGGGGGTTATTACCGTATTGTTCCAAATATAAGACGATGGGGTTTTTTTTATTAATAAATCTGAAAAAACAGGTTTGTCTTCTATTCTAGACCAGTGGTTTTCAAACTGTGGGCCGTGGCCCACTAGGGCGCCTCAGTGATCCCCACTGGGGGCCGCGAGATAACTTACAATTATACTATAATCAATTAATTTAAATCTTAATAAGTTAAATAAAAAAGATAAATTAAATTAATAAAAAAAAAATTTAAACAAAGCACCACATCTCATAAGTATTGTGTTTGTTTTGGAGCAGCCCAAGCAGTTTCCCATCTCGCTGTGTGAAACACAGACTGAACAGCAGCTCAAAACAGCTTCATGTAGGATACATCTTTCAGTTGGACATAGAAAACCAGTGTCACTAAAAAAGTTTTGATAGATGACGGTTGTAATGAAGGTAAAGAAGATTACAGTGACACAGGAGTCGTACATTAGGCATACACAAGCCCATTATTATTGATGCGCAAACAAACCGTGTATGTGTGCTCTCGGATCACTGATGATCACTATAACATTGTATTTCTGCATGAACTCAGTTCACATAGTTACCAAAATGAATGTACTGTGAGTGTTTTATTACAGATGCTCACTGAAGAAGCATATTTTAGAGAAGTTTAAGAGGTCTTATAATCAGGGTCATCTTATATTTGGAACAATAATACGGTATTTGTGTTTAAATTAAATTGTTATGTATTATTCTGTTCTAATTTTATTTTATTGCTAGGTATTTTATTTTTGTTTTAGTTTATGTAATTTGTAAGGATTTTACTAATTTACTGTGGAATATTAATTTGAGGCAAATGGGTCTGTTATCTGTGCAACTGTAGCATAATGTTCTTTTGTAGTTTCACATTATGGCGTTAAGTAATGGGCATTACTGTGGCGATAAGCAGCTCCAGGTCTTTGGCCTCAAATGTGTTCTGATTATGAGGATCCAGATGTTCAAACTGTTTCAACAAAGAGGCGTGATCCATCTGAACACCTGCAATCACAATAAAATATTTCTGTGTACATAAGCGTGGGAGTCACATCAACAGAATCAACAGATTTTCTTGCTTATCAGTATCACTTGAGTAATACATAAACATACTCTGCACATTGGTGCTGTCCAATTTTGCCTTCAGCAACATCCTGAGACGCGAGACCTCTTGCCTCTTCAGCTCATCCAGTCGAGTCCTCACATGATGGCCCACCAAATCCAACTCCTTACTGAGGCGTCCGTTCTAAAAGACAGTATCTTTCCATTAAAGACTTGAACTACAGATGAAATTATAAAACTTCAAAGCACAAAGCGCAACACATTTTCAGCTACATTGGTATATATTCCCTATTTATTTTTTCCAGAGGGATCTTTCAGTGCTGAGATGAATCACATCATCACAAACTTAAATTTGTAGCAAGTAAAAAAAGTATGAAAATCTAAGAAAATACAAGTTACAAGACTGTGTACTATTGATGAGGTAATGACGACCTACACATTTCAAATTGCATAAAAAAATTTAAATGACTGACTTTAAGGGATAGTTCACCCAAAAATGTAAATTCTGTCATCATTTACTCGCCCTCAAGTTGTTCAAACCTGTATGAATTTCTTTCTTCTGCTGAACACATAAGAATATATTTTGAAGAATGTGGGTAACCAGACAGTTGATGGTCCTCATTGATTTCCATTGTATGAAAAAAGTCAATGTTTGGTTACTGACATTTTTCAAAATATCTTCTTATCCAATCATACAGGATTGGAACAATTTGAGGGCAAGTAAAATGGTAATGGTAAATGGACTGCATTTATATAGCGCTTTCACAGACCCAATGGCCACCAAAGCGCTTTACATTTTGCCTCACATTCACCCATTCATACACTCATTAATTTTATTTTAAAAAATCAAGTAAATAATTTTTGGCTGAACTGTCCATTTAAACTCGTATAATAAAAGTATAAATACATTATAAATATAAAATACAATATAGGTTTAAGCTATTAAGCTAAAATAAAATATATAGAAAATATTAACCAACAGAAGTTGGTTGTGAGAGTACAGTGTCCAACTAGATTGAACTTTACTTCTACAGAAACATATGCTATTGCCTAAATCTCTGTGCTCATGGTAAATCTATCTTGAATGATATTTATAACTCTATGGAGAAGATGAATGGGCTTTTTACTGTTGTGCTCTACAGAGAGTGTGGTTTACCTTGATGTCTTCTGTGTTGGCCGTCTGGAGTTTTTCTCTAAAGTGAGGGTCTGTTTCCAACACCTCGATTACCTCTCTGAGGTAACGGTCATAGTAAAGACCAGTGTCCTGAAAAATACACATACAGCATAAACAAGAGTGCATGTAAATACTGAACTAAATGATAAACGCACATGACATGCTCTGGATCTGAGACCAGTCTTACCGCATTCTCTTCTGGTTTTTCCTCCTGAGGGGGGTCTTGTTTGCGATCTATTGGCACTGTCCACACCACCAGACAGAGAGACAGAAGAATCAACCCTTTAAACCCGCCTGTCATCCTTGGATATCTTGAAAATGCACAGATGTACCTTTATTAGGCAGCCTTCACTTTCACCCTAAACACCTCGACACTGAAGAATCGTTAGCTTATATTTTTGTTGCGAGAACTGTCCCTTTAAGCGTACGTTTAAGTACACGTCGATCATGACCAGAGAGAATAGCCAAAATAAAGGAAGTCTGTATGGTAGTTATCGAAAACACACTGAATACGTTTGACAACAGATGCAACTTCTGAAAAAACAGCCACGGACATCTACAGCTGTCTGTACTGTCGGTTGGTCCTATATAGTCTATATCAAATAAACAGCGAGTTATCTTACCACAGGGTCAGATCTTGTTTCAGCGGTGACGGTGAGTGAACCTATGCTATGATGACGCCAACAAAATACTCAGCACTGCTGCGTAAAAAAACTGCGGCTATGGATTATGACGCAATCCAAACGCGACGCTTCTTGCGTGCAAAGGTGCAACCCTGGTGCAAACCACAGGCAAATCCTACTGTCTATGGGCAAACCATTGACTAATAAAGGTGCGAACATGAATTCGCCGTACCTGTTTGTATAGTAACACCGTTTGTTATTAAAATGATAAATGTAATACATTTTTCTATAATTCCATTAAGCCAGGTTACCAAAAAGGCCAATTCAAATCTTTCGGAAAATTATTACATCCATGTAATGTAAGTATCGCGTAACAAATCAACTGTTACGTTTGTAAAAAATAAAAATAAAAAAAATAACACTAATAATTAGAAAAAAAAGTTATTTCTATTTTTTATAATTTACTTATATTATTTTTATTTATAATAACTAATAACAACAAGATTGTATAATAGTGTATATTATTATTATTATGCCAATAACTTTTTAAAAGAGCAAGGACCAAGATCTTGCGCCATGTTTCTTTCTTTGTTTCTTTCTTCTCATCTTGCATGTTAAATGGACTTTGAGAAATGCACCACAGTGTTGGCAAACATAGACACTTTATTTCAATAACTTCGAAAAATAGATATACCTTTTTATCCAACACTTTGATTACATACAGGCTGAAACACTGACAAACAAAATAAATTAAATATAAAATTGTGCACACAATAAATAATATGATAAATCAACTATAAAATGTAGAAATGTAATACATAAAGTGAAAAGGATAAACCTGAAATACATAAAAAGTCAAAATTACAGTTATGGCAATAGACGTAATAAATATGGCACAAGTAAATCGTAATAAACAAATAAATAAAAAAAATCGTTATAAATTAGATCACTTCAGAAGTTACAAAATATATAGGCTAAACGTCACATTGTGTTTAAATCAGTTTTACTGATAAATAGAAGTGAGACGCAATAAATATGACTCATAAATGAACCCTGTATTAAAAGTCTATTTCTCTTAGGTTTGTGGGGGTGCTGGCTCTCTCATCTTCACTATCAGCATCTTTCTCTTCCTGTGCTCCGTTTCTCAGTCTCTCCCTGAGAGCTCCTTCTATCAGCTCAGTGCAGCACTGCAGCACCACCTGTTGGCAGAAGCGCAGACAGTCAACAACAGTCACAGACACATACCAACACAAGCAGAGGAGATCAATCTTTGCTTACCACATCAGTCTGACAGAGTGTGGCCAGGGCAGAGGTCATGACACTCAACTCTCCCGGACCGTTGGCCCTTAAACCCCGAAGGGCAGAGTTCAGTGCAGCCGCAGCAACCAGTGACGGAGGTGTTCCCAGAAAACGCGAGTCACACACACACATGGCAACAAGTGTATCGCTGTGGCGCCGCAGCGTTGCGAGAAAGTCTCCTGTACGCACGTCGCCATCCTTGAGTTCCCCGAGAGTGCGCAGGAAGTGTGGGATAAAGTCCTGAGGGGTCACTGCTGCCACATCCCATCGCAAAGTCGCCAGGACAACACGCTCCATTTCCTTTTGGAATAAGCATGTATATACTGACTTAGGCCTATACTGTCTCTCTCTCTTTATACATACATATATATAGTATTTATTTTATTAATTTTTATTTTGTTGTTTCATACTTTTAGAGACATTGTGCATAATATTGAGCATTAGTGACTTTTGATTGATTTTTTTTTTTTAAGTTTAAAATGGTGAAACACTCACCCGCAGATTTGATAAGAGAAAGTCATACTCTGCTGCTGCACAGAGGGTATCTGCACTAACTGTGTCACTTTCTGTCAGTTTTGAGGCCACCAGGACACACGCAGCAGCCAGACAGGATGGAGAGACGGGCAGAGATAGAGTGGCCGACAGATATTGATCCAGCAGGGAGACAGCCAGAGGAAATACAGACTCATCGCAGTCACACTCACAGCACACCTATTAAAAGAGGGATGGATGATTTAAACTACAACAACAACAGCAACATAAAAAACCCCTCAGTCATAGCAAACAGGTCCCGAACTTGAAAAAAAACATTTGGACTGTAGAACTTTGTCCCTGTCATTATTGTTAAATCATTCATCTTGATCTGAATAACTAAATAATTTCTTCTTAAAGGGATGAATCACATAAAAATTCAAATTCTATCATTATTTACGCATTTAGATTCAAATCGGTATGACTTTCTTTATTAGAAGATATTTCTAAAACTGTCGCAGGGTTTTTTTTGTCTATATCATAGGGTCCAATGTGGTTTTGGACCCCAGTGATTTTTTAAATATTTGGACAAAAATATTTGAAATATTATTCAAAATATCTTTTTCGAGTTATTTGTTAGGTGAGCCGTCCCTTTAATTGTAAAAATATATATATTTCAAACCATTTTAAATAGTTTACAGATCTTCATAAAACCCCAAATCTACCCTCATGTTCCACTTGGCCAGTGTTTCACAAGTGTTTTATTTTGATTGTTTTTATTTTAAATGGTTTATTTAAATTTTTTGGTTATTTAATTATTAGCTTTTTACTCACCTAACCCTTACCACAATTTGGAAAACCCTGGAGCTTCTGACCCTCTTTTGTACCCTTCTTGTGAAAAGTGCTTAGAATATAAAATGACTGGTATTAAATACACACTTAGTAAAAAAAGGATCAATATTCAATCAATATTAAAGAACCCTTTATGCCAAAAAGGTTCTATATAAGGAGAAATATCTTAAATGATTGCATAATGCTTTCATGTTTAACTGTTTTAACACTAATTAAAACTAAATCCATAAAATGATCCCATGAAACCCTAAAAGGTTCAATATATGAAGCGCCTGACAGAACCCTTTAAGGATAGAACCTTTTCTAGTGTTTTAAGAACTGGATTTTGGTATTTAGCATGCAAGAACTACCTCCATGGTCCACTTGGCCAATTCCTCTCTGCGCTGTGGCTCTCTCTGGATGAGAGAGGTGTAGAGAGGAGACGGCAGGTATCTCTCCTCTGACTGCAGAAGTCTCTGAATAACCCTCAGCCCGGAGGCGCTGGGGTCCCATGGGGCTCGGACTGAAGATTGAGTCCTGTCCTGGCCCTCTTCCTCCTCACACCACAGAGACACCGACATCACTCCTGCCAGCAGTTGTGATCCAATACTGAAGTTGTCCAAAGTGTGTCTCACCAGTCTTGGTCCCGAGTTGAAGAGTAAGTGCCAACTTCCCTGTGCTCTTTAAAGTGCTTAAGTTTAAATGTGTGCTGGTGAGTGTCTGTTTCTCGCGTTGTTCTCAGCCGCCGTCTCTCTTCGGTCTGCTTATATATCCCCTGAGTGAAAGGGTGACTGGTGATGAATAAAGTGAAGAATAAAAGAGGGGTGTGTAAAATGAGTGGAGTAAAAAATTAAACGACCACAATGCTGGCTGAGCAACAATGGCATCAACAGGTGGAGAGAGAGAGGGAGAGAGAGAGAGAGAGAGAGAGAGAGAGAGGGAGTCGCCCAGAGGGACACGGCAACAGCTTGTCACCGTCAGTGAGCGAAGAAAAGAGAGAGCGATAGAGAGAGGGGAGAGAAAGAGGTCATCACCATGCTGTGACAATGGGAATGAATAACAATAAGACGTGATGTTGGTGACAGTGAAGGGTATCAGATAAAGATAACATTTACACATTTATATATCGAATAAAGATATGCAGTAATTCATGAACTTTGATGTATTTGACTCCTAAAACCTCCTGCTAGTTGTTGAAGGTCATGGATTTTAAAGAATTCTCAAGCCACAAATATGGTACATTCTTAAGTGTCTCATAACTTTAGCATTAGAGGCACAAAGTATTGTTAAATAATATAATAAAACATTATTTTCTTTTACAAAGTTTTTCTTAAATCTATGGAAAATATAAGTTTATCAATAACTACAAACCACCTTATAGTATATATTTTTTTGTTTCATAAATTGTCTTTTTGATTTTATAACATTATTAGGTCTATATTATATTATTAAAAATAGTATATTGGTAACAGGGTTAAAAAATTTGCAAACAACAAGTTAATAGAAAATAGAACTTGTAATATTAATAGGATTCCAAAACTTTTTCTACCCCTTTGACCTAAAATATTTACTAAATAAGTACCGCCTGAGATTTTCATTCAATATTTTAATAATTTAACAACACATACACATGTTCATGGTTCTCAGATGCTGGTCACATGACATGCAGGTAAAAAAAAAGAAAAAGCTAAATATTTCAGATTTTGTATTATGTAACTGCACATTTACATGATTCAATTAATTATTAACTTTACATCAACTTCGCAAACCTCAATTTGGGAAACTCTGGTTTAAGAGTTTCAGGCCCTATTGTACCCTAGAAGTACCTCACATATAAAATTACTGACATTAAAAACATAAACAACATGTTCAGTTTTTAGCTCTGGATTTTGGTATCATGTAAAGACTTACTTTGTCTTGTCTAGAATATGTAATGAAGCCTCAAAACTAAAGAAACAGTGAAACTGATAACCCAGAACACCTGATTTTCAAGGTCTGAAATGACATCAGGCTCAGAGCAGATGGAGAAGCTTTTTGAAATCTGATACAGGAGTGCAAGACAGAGACTGAGACTGATGGCTAGAACTGGAGAGTGTGCAACTTTTGTTTTCGTCGCACTGAAGTCACACTTACTCACGTGCCACCTAATCACCCTGTCACCCCCCCAGTTTTCTGTGGAATCTCATTGTCAAAGCAACTAGTCTCCCATTATGTTTCTCCATCTCACACAGCACACACACACAGCCCCTCCCTGGGCCTGTGGCAATCTGGTGTCCTGTTTAAAGAGCGGTGAGTCCTCATGGGAGGGCTGGGCGAGGTATGTGCAACAGACAGTGGAGCTGGCAGGTCAATGAGCCGTATTGTCTCTCTTTACAAATCACTGTCAGACACCAGTGCCTGGCCTTCTGCTCCCACTCACTCACACACACTTCACACGCTCGCGCTCGCACTCGACTCTGGATGGCCCTCACAGTCACAGCAGGACACGTTGAAGTGGACTGGATTTGTCATCGTGTCTACAGGTGGCTGAATATTTCAAATGGCAAAAGTTGAGGTTTTCTAAACATGAGTAATACATGAGCCTGGGCCAAGTCAAATGAACTTACCCCTTGGGTTTAAAAAAAAATCTTTTTCAGATTCCTAAATATGACTTATTTTGGCTGTTTTATAAAGTCAAGACATTTGGAAAAGTAATAACACAAGGTCACTTCTCAAGAACATATTCATCTCTACCTTCATTTGTGTGAAAAGTAAAGAAGAACAATGGGGAAACTTCAGGAGTCCAATATAACTCAGCCCAATGATATTGGCCAAACTGGCACAATCACACAACAATAACCCTCTAAAAACCGACGAAGTTCTCAAATGTACAAAGAGTGACTTCACTCAGACCCATAGAGCTGCTTGAACTGCTTTAGTCATTGAAAACTAACTAGAGCTTAACTCAGAGCGGATTGAGTTTGAATGAGGCACTCTTCTTTTTTTCTGTTCCCCATAAAGCGAGGTCATGCCGGCCGTAAAAGGGACAAGATGAGTCTCAGGAGTAAAAGTGTGTTTGTGTACGAGACAAAGAAGGGTGGCAGATCCACCGGTTTAAGTGCCATGCTAAATTCATATGTTGCAGCTGTATTCAAACAAACACAGTGGGAAAATGGAGGGAGGGCGAGAGAGAGACAGACAGAGAAAAGAGGAGGACGACCAGCAGAAAGAGCAGAGAGCAGGACGGCGAGAAAGAGGCGTGGTTCTCCACCCCTCATTTTCCAGCTCATTTGGTAGGACAGTGGGCAACAGTGACCCCATTTACCCTGATCTTTTAACCCCAGTCAGACACCTGCTGATGGAGTGTGTGAATGTGTTTGTTTGTGTGACGACGGCACTGGTGGTGTTCTGTGCCAGACATAAATTAACTGGTATAAGAAAACATGCTGAAATAAAAGATTTTCTGGTTCTTTAATTCATCGTTTTACTCTATTTTTTGGCTTACTAACTAAACAAAATAAATAAATTCTTGTATTAATAAATACTAAACACAAGCGCTCTAAGTTCTTATCTCTCAGTTAGACTTTTTTTTTTTAACTGGATGATCTGTTGTAATCCTCCAAATAATGAAGTGTGACCTATCCGCTTATTCGGGTGAGAATCTGAAAGAGAGAGGTGGGTAAAAGGAATTATAAACATCAGTATTAAGATACATAATAATAATAAATATTTGAAATAAATGTAATACATATAGGATGTTGACCCCCCCCCCCCCCCCCTTCTTTTATTTATTAGAATAAAAAATACAATTTCCAAGAGACTTCTTTATCTGAATAAACATTTACATAATGTAATGCTAACTTTTAATCAAAGTTATTATAAAATATTACAGAGAAAGCAGTTTATTATGGTATTAAGATAATAATAATAATAAAAAGATGAAAAATATTTTAAATAAATTCAAAAATGTTTGTCTATGCTATGGCATGTTTTAAAAAAATTGTATTTCTTTATTACATTTAGTCATTTAGCAGACGCCTTTGTCCAAAGCGACTTACAAATGAGGATTAAAGCAAGCGAGTCATCGTGAAAAGGCAAAAACAACGCAAGAAGTGCTCAAAATACAAAGTTCAGGCATTGCTCAGAGTAGCATAAGCCAGACAAGGGAGGATTAAAGGAAAAAAGGATTAAAGGATTACATTTTTTTTAAATAGAAATAAAAATGTATATGACATTAAATTTGTCTGAATGTAATCAAAGTTATTATAAAGTGTTACAGAGTAAGCTTTTCCTCACTGTTCAAGGCATTAAGATAATAATAAAAAGATAAAAAATATTTTCAATAGATTTATGACCTGATTTTAATTATTATATTACAGATATTATTAATTTTTAATATCTGAATGAACATTTACATATTATAAAAGCTATTACAAAGTGTTACAAAGAAAGCGTTCATCACTATTTATTGTGAGATTAAAATGATTAATGTATTCACTAAAATATTTTAATTACGGTACATTTTTTATTATCGGAATGAACACTTGCATATAATGCTGATAATATGTAATGTAATAATGCTAATGTTTTTAGAGTTATAATAGTTTTACCAAGAAAGCTTTTTGTATCGTCAAGGCTAAAAAACCTTCATCTATTTTATATTGAACCAATATAATGGGGCAAGGAATAAGAATAAAGTGGGCATTTGGCAAAGAACAATCCTTCAAACTCAAAATGTCATGAACTCAATTTCAATGCTTTATTTTATTTTTTAGATGCTTTAGCTGTATGAAAATGGGTAATATTAAAAACTAACAAAATAACTAATATTACAGCCTTTGCTACACTGCATGCAAAATGGTAGTGCAAAGCATTATCTTCTGTCACTGAGTGTAACAGTAAAGAAAGGGAAAGGTGAGTGAGGGAGAGACAAAAAAACATTAAAAGAAAGGAAAAAAATATACATTATCATACAACAAATAAGGAATAACATGGAATTCGGGACTACAAGTAGTGGATCAAACAATTAGATATCTAATGCTCATGAATGCATAAAATATTAACAGATAAAATATGAGCTATAATAGGCACACTATAAGCAGATTTCTGTTCTGTGACTCTGTCTGCAATGCCCAAAGTCATTCACACATCACTTTGAACAGCATGTCGAAAATCCTCGGCCCTTCTTAGGAAAGTACAGTTTGAAACAGTCAGCTGGTCTCCTTTTTATTAGGTTTCTGCAGATCTAGATTTCAATCTCTGAATTACATTCACCATATTTTATAAACAATCATCATTTTTGGAATATTCATCATTATCTTTCAGCTAAAATCATCTGTTCCCCTTCTGCCGATCCACTTCTGGAATTAGGGGTACGTAGGAGGCGAGCGCTGTGGTGTCTGGCCGTTAAACGGCTGGCAGGAAGTGGCTCCTCTGGCCTCCGAATGAGCGACAAGGGTGTCCGTCTCTCTGGGCTCTGAGTCGGGACTCTCTTCTGCTGAGCTTGATGGGACACGCAGCCCAATAACTTCTTGCACCTTTGAAGGCAGCTCCTGAGAACGGAGCAGTTAGTAAGCATTATGTAGCATGCATGACAATGGTTATTTTTCATAGCATTTCAGCAGCAGTCAAATCTGTCCCATCTCACCTTGCAGTGTGCCAGCTGCAAATAAATAGCCTCAGCTCCACAGAGTATTGACTGCAGATCCAGC